AATTTAAACAGAAAAAAATCACAAAATTTTAGAAATTTAAAGTAATCATCATGTGATTTGAATTACACAGATTTATAAAATCTGTGATAATTCATATTTATTTCTTTTATAATTTAAACTTAAACTTCTTATTAGAAAATAAGTTTTATTTTCCTAATTACATAGTATTTAGATTTAATAACAGTCTAATTTATTATCATAGTGAAGTTAAGCTGACTAAAATTCTTTTTTGATTTATTTTATTTTATTATTTTTATTAACATTCTACTTAAGTAATATCATAAGATCACTATTTTAATAAAAAAAAATATAAAGTTTTAATAAATTTAAAATAATAAATTAGTTTAAGGTTAATTATTTATAAAAATATTATTTTTTTAATTTTAGCTTCAGTTTAAATTTTTTAATTTTTTTATTATTTTTCTGATTTTTTTTATTTTTATATATATTTTTTAATATTTTTTATATTTCAATTTATTTTTATATACTGTCAAAATTTGATATAATAATCTTTTTAGTTTATTATTAATATTTTTGGAAAATCATTTTATCAAAATTATAAATTTGATATTATATATTTTAATATAAATCAAAAAATTTTAAAAAATAATTTAAATGAAAATTCATTAAGTGATCATTATATCAAGAATTCATTTTAACAAATTCTTATTATATATATATATTTTAATTTTTTTTCTTTTTACTTTTTTTTTTTTTATTTATTTTTAATATTTTATTTTGTTTCACTTATTTTTTATATATTTATATATATATATATATATATATTTATATATTTTTTCATTTCAATTTATATTTTTTATTTTTTTTTATTTTTACTTTTCTTATATTTTTTATTATATTTTATTTTATTTTATTTTTATTTTATTTTTTCATTTATTTAATTTTTGTTTTTTAGTTTTTTGAATGAAACTATTCAGTTTTGTCACTATAGCAAAAATTAGCTGATTGATTAATAATTTATTATTATTTTATTTTATTTTATATTAGATTAATTTTCTTTTTTAAACAAGAACCAGATGGAACTTTGAATGGAACTGTCTAATTTATTACTGTAACAAAGATAAATTGACTAAATTTTATAATTTATCTTTTTACTTATTTTGGTAATTAGTTCTGATTACTAATTTTATTTATTTTATCTATTTTTCTTAAGAAGTTTAGGTTAGATCAGATCAGATTTTTGATCAATGGTGAATACAGGTTACTAACATTATTTTTTAATGCATTGTTCTTTTATTTTATTATTATTCTCACTATTATTTGATTAATTTTATTTTTTTTAGGCTAGATCAATTTACCCTTTCAGTCAGAATTATTAAACAAAACAGGATTTTTGTTACTGCAGCATAGGTTTTCAGGAATTTTTTGATTATTACTTTAAATACTAGTAATCATAATCATTATAATAACTAATTACCTTTTTTAAATAATTACATAATAAAAATTACAAAAAAACTTTATTTATTTATGTGATTCTTCTTTTTATTTAAAATCATATATAAACAACTGTTGTTCCTATCAATATTGATATTGATATTGATAATAAAAACGGCCTACATTGCCAACCAAATTTGTTTTGGGATCGGCTATAGCTAGCAACTATATAAAGTGGAATCACATGACACCAGAAACTATATGGCATGAACTTTAGAAGGTGGTAATTTAAAATCTTAACTCATAAACCCATTGGGAAAACTGGAATTTTCGTGAATCAGTTTTCAACTCATCTCAAAAAATGATTGCGGAGAAAATTAAATTTACTTTGCTTTAGTTTATTTTAATCGGTATGTAACTCGTAAGACCGGTTAATAAGGCCGTTCTCGGTCCAGATACTCATGTGATAAATTTCATGTTACACACGTAATTATATTTAATTTTGGAGGTAACACATTATTTATAGAAATATTTTCTTTTTTTATTGGGCTAAAAAAATTCAAATTTGCTTGAACTGTATGCGAATGCGCCATGTTTGCTATTTTATTAAAAGACAAAGAACAAGCATTTTTACGCATATAAAGCAATTTCGAAGTTATACAAATACCACGGAATAAAAATATTGCTATACCGTTTCGTCTTTTGAAAATAATTTTAGTTATACAATACGATTGCACATTATAACAACACCGAATTGATCAAACTGCACGAAAATAAACAAGACCTTGAGGTTCTTTCTTTTAAGGTTCAAGGCTGTGACATTCCTTATCATGAACCTCAAGATTTTAATAATTTTTCTAAAATGGAGTTTATACTTCAGTTATGCTGCGTATTGTAAAAGAACTACAACAAAACTTGCAATTAAAAAGTTTGTCGAAGTACTACGAAAAAAATTATTTTAAACGAGGTTTGATAAGTGTAGTTTTTTGTTAATATAAATATAATTTTTTCGATTAAAAAAAACTCTTTCTAGATTCATTTAATGGAAATTATGAGAAATAATGTTTATTTTTCATCCAAATATAAGTAGTCATGTTGTGGATGATAATTTGATTACACACTAGGATTACTACTTTATCATGTGGCCTTTCGGCCACATGATATAATAGCATCCTATATGTATAAATAAATTATTATTCAAACGTGACCGATAATAAGTATGTATGACGTAAACACCGATCCTTTTTTATATAAATATTTTGATCACTTGAACTTTTTTTTCACTTTTTTCTCTCGTTTTTTTGCAAACTTTTAAAATTCTTCCACTTTTTTCAAAAAACTTTATAAAGAAATTATGAACTTTACAAAAGCCTCTCTACTTCCAACACAGAAGGAAATCAACGAATTTCTAAAAGTATCGCTAGTTTCAAATACTGAAAAAATACTGCAAAGTGGCTTCGAGTTGTTGAAAGATTTAATAAAAGTTGTGGTTTATAATGATTCGCCTATATCTACTGTTCAAGAAATCCAAATTCCTATGGCTTAAACTCAGGCTCAAGCTTCTGCAACACAAAATATTCAAAATTCAAGTCAATATATCAGGAAATGTAAAGACTTCAGTAACAGCACCTTTTAAACCACCTTGTCATCCTAATTCCCCAATGATTACTTCTTATGGCAAAAATCGAAAGCATTTATCTAGTACTAATAACCGAAATCCTTTATCTTGCATTATTAACAATATTATAATTAAACTTCCGCATGGTATCTCTTCACAAAGTTATAACCTAAATATTAATCTAAAACTAACATAATTATAAATAATATGATTACTTTATTACAAAGTGATCAAAATTTGTGTATTCAATAATGAAGTAAACAAACTTTGTGTATTCTAATAATAAGTGAATGGAATTTGCATATTTAATAATAAGTAATTTATTTTAATTTAAAAGTGATCAATAATTTTCATAAGACGTATGCAATAATTAGATTTTACGGAATTACGAAATTAAAAAGTGAAGTAATGATTATTATTTTGCTTATTTATTTTTTTTTAGATGATTTTACTTATGCGCTTATGCGGATGGCGGGACATTAGGAAAATTTTTAAAAGACAACGCTAAATCTATTAAATGGAAAAGTTTATGGAAATTTGCCAACGACATTGACAAATGCTATTTTATGGTTACATGAGCAACATTATACATCGAAATCTCGTAAGTTTTAATTAATAAATACTGTATATTTGATTTTATTATATTATTGATTAGAATTTTTTTATATAGATGAAGAAGATGACCTTTCAGGCTACGACGTTCCATTATATGACTTTGACACATAAGTTTAAGTAGATGTATTATTAACTTTAGATTTCTAATTTTCGCTACTCATGTATACTTTTATACTACCGTAACTCTCAAAATTAAGATTTAGGTTGATTTTAAAAACTACTTCTTTTTCATGTATTGAATTAGCGAAAATTCTAGTTTATAATAAGATTTCAAATGAAATAAATCGACCTAACTTTAATTCAAATGCGATATTCGAAAGGTTGAAACTGAAAATTAAGAATATAAACAAAAAATATAAAATTCTTTCTTAAGCAAAAAAAAGGATATAATTACAAAGCATGTAGGCATAAATCATAAAGCATATTTATAAGAACGCGAAAATATTAAATCTTTTCAACATGTAATAAATTGTTCCAAAACCTTCCGGTAAAATTAAATAAAATATTCATTAGTTTGAACTTATGATATGATAACTATATTTTTGATTTTTTTGCAATTATTATTTATTTATTTATTATTTTTTTAAAAAAAAATATCAATATACCCTCTTAAATATTCGTTATATTAAAAGAATATCATGAAAATGTGTTATCATTTTTACAATTGAGCAGTAAAATAATCTTAATTACTCAAAGAATTTATCGGGTAGAACATAATTTCATTTGAAATATATTTAATTTTAAAGTACAAGTGAAATGAGAGATTTATATCTATTTAGTATGATTAACCGAGAAATTTTTAACCGACACCTCTAATTCACTGACATACTTTTTGCTTTTACCGACAATTTATTTTGGAATCTATGCAAACCTTTAATTATACTGGAATTTAAGCAACAATATTTTATTTTATTAATAAAATTATGCAATTATGACCCTACCGATTAAATTAACTTAGTAAGTCATGTGCTTACAAGGACGTTTTAGGCAGTATTTTATTTTTTTTTCCCTTGTACCTTTTTCTTGTATTTTTTTACAGAAATAGGATTTTACTTAATAAAAATGCATTACCACGATACTATAAATTTGGCCAGGAGTATACAAATCTTAATTCTGTCGAAAATTGAATTTCGGCCGGAGTTAAAAGCAATTATTTGTTCTTTAACCGGTTCAAAAACCAAATTTAATAAATATTTTTTTATTAGAAAGCTAAGTTTTAGCTTTACAACTTAATATATATATATTTTTAAACTCTGAAATTTATGTAATTAGTGTAAATGTTCAGTTATAATTAAACATTAAATTTTGTGTCTCGATGTATCTTAAATTATGATTTTTGATTTTTAATTTCAATTCGTCTTTTTATCATGGGCTATGTTGAACCATCGTTACAAAGCCTATTTACCAGACACTTTAGCTCTATTCCGAGCCCGTTTGCCCTTCCTTGATTATCCTAAGGGTTACTCAATACTACAGAAAACCTATTGTACCAAGCAGCATAACGTTTTATAGACGCTAACGCTACAACCCTAAGCTGAGATGACAAGTATGTTCCACGAATAATATTTTCCAATGTTTTTTGTTCTTTAGGCATTAAGAACGCAGATAATTTTCGGTAAATTGGTGGTGTCGGTAAAACGTTCGTGGATGTCAGTAAAATTGGTATTGGCATTCGAACTTGTTAATATGTCTATAATGGATAAATTATTAGCTAAGTATTCTGCGAATATAAATTGAATTATTTTAGTAAAGCATATTAAATAGTTATAACAAATATTTTAACTTTATGATCTAAGAATATCTTTTTTTTTTTATATTTGATTTTTATTCTAATTCTAATACTAACCTAATTTTTCCATTTATTTTTTAATTAACTGGTTTTTTTCCTTTTTTATTCATTAATTATTTTTTTATTTTTATTTTTCTAGCAGTAGCTTTTTTAATTTATTTTTAATATAATTTTTCTTTTAGCTTTCTTTCATTAAATTATTTATTTTCTATGTATTTTTTTAGGCAATATTTAATTTTTTTTATAGCTTCTCTTTCAGTTTGAATTGGTTAAGCCGAAAGTTTTTTTGAATACATTTTACAATTTTTTTTAGAGGATTTCTATAGTTTAAGATTACTTTAGGTCGATAGATAAGATTTTTTTTTTAGGTTGGATCATTTAAAATTTCTTTATTTGATTTTAAATATTTTTAGACACGGTGAGTCGCAGCAATTAATTTTGATATTCTTTTAAGTGAAATATTTCTTGCAAAATTTTTAATTATAAAATAAATCAGTTTCTCTAAAATATATCTAATTCTCAACCATCAATATCGTTTAAGGGATGACGAGACTATATAACTGCGGATATAACCATTTTATGTCCGATGTTTACCTTTTTTTTGCACTACATGACATATAAAAGACTTGTTTTAATAACGTTCAAGTACACTCAAATTCTTTTATTTAAAAATTTGTTATATTAATCATAATTCGTGAGATGTTGAAAGTGAAAAAAAAAATTATATAGAAAATTTTTTACCTTTATCATCTTTTTTTTGTAATAACTAAAAAAATAATTTCCTATTTCCAGATATTGAATACCTCAGAATTTGTCGATTTTTATTGCGTTTTATAAATCTTATAATAGATAATTAGATTTACTACTCTTACGAATATCAAAATATGAATTTCATTAATTTTTTGGATGAACGTAATCAGGTCACGTGTATTGATTGTTGAATCTATAAATAAACTATTAAGCATGGTTTTCTTTAACTAAAATATACTGAAATAACTGAATAACAAAACAATACAATACATTAGAGTTACTAATTACGAACGATAAGAAACTAGAAGGATTAGAAATAGGGATACTAATGGTTACGATGTTGACCGGTCACGACCGTGACGAATATCGGTCGGTCAAAGGCTTCTGACCGACCGACCGTTATCATTCTTAGTTAGAAGATAAAGAATTAAATCGAGTAATTATCAATGCATTAGATCCAGTCAGGCGTAATAATCATGCTTGAGATTTTTTTTTTATCTTTTTTAATGTAGTTGTCACGTGATAGTTCATTGAGTCTGGATAATAACCCTGAAAATCATAACCTTTGTTAAAATTATCCCTTAATATCAATGTGTTAAATGTCGTTATATTCTTTTTTGTATATTATGCACGTTGATCATTTTGCGTTTCATGTCGATTTTTGTAAACTCCTTACATACTATAACACATTCTAAACTTATTATTCGTTCGTTACATTATATTATTATTAATTTATGCAACTTAGTTTTATTTATATTTTATCAAGAATTATGCGAACCGATATTTTATACAACAACGAAAGTATCTATATTTAACATAATCTTAAATAGTTCTGAATGACTGACACAATAACTGATAATTTTTATTATTCTTATTTGAATTGTTCTTAACACAAAATTATTTTTAAATTGATATTTTGAACTACCATAGTAGACATAAAAGGGTGTAATGGTAAAAATTAAAAAGTGTCCATTTTCTGACAATTGATATGGGGCCAATTGTAATGTAGGAACTTTATTAAATTTATTGTTAAGACAAATCGGAATTTCTTGTTCTAGATACTTATTTCTAGAACAATATATAGAAACCTGGAAGAATGATGCAGATTTAAAAATGATTACTAAATTTCATAAAACACAATAAAAAGAAATTGAAATTATTCGACCTATTTAGATGTTCCCGCCGATCATGTTTCAGGTTCGTCGGAGCTTTTGCGGAAATTACGAAAATCTTAATGGAAATATTCGGATCAAATTTTTTATAGGGAAAATTATTTATCCAACAAAAGAAGATTGGATGCAAGTATTAATCTTATTTATATTCTTTTATTAATAACGATAAATCCATATTTACAATAGGTTATTCTCAATAGCTACTTAATCCTTCCTCTTACTATTGGTGAATCACACATCCTTAATATGTAATTGAAAAAGAAAATAATTTTAATTCACGTAGAAAAATAATTTCTACGGCAATGCATACAATTTCCGTTGTATTAGATCCTAATATTAAAATTTAACAAAACATAATTAACATAATCTTTTAATGAACGAGTAAAGCCATACAACCAAGGAAAACAACTAAACTTTATTTCGAAATTAATTTCGTCAACACTTTTTATGATTATTCTAAGCTTGACACATGGCAAAGATTGCCTTGTTTACACAGGTCACTAGTATTCCTAGTGAAATTAAAAATCATCGGACACGTGATTATATATACTTATCTGTTATTCACGTATTAGATAATTTTTTTTTATAATTTTGGGCATTTTTCGACTTTTGGTAAATAACATCGGGCTGTAGCAACAGATAATATTTTTCGGTATAATACATAATAAGGCTTTGTTTCCTTTCCTTTTTTTTTTTTACATTTGTGATCATTGTCCGGAGGGCTACACAATGTCGTCTATCTGTCCACTGATCGTCCAATAAAATTTTGTGTTATTAAATCACATGAATAAAATTAATATGTGTTACACCTAAAATATTTTTTTATTTGGGACTCGTTGTGGGCCGCAGCAAATGTTCGAATTTTATTTTTATTTTTATTTTTTTTCTTGTACAAAATATTTGTAAAATATAATATTCTTAAAATTAAAAATTTTAAACTGATAAATTAATTGATTTCTTTCCAAATTATTTATTCCATGTTAATTAATTATATCGGAGCAATCTTATAATCGATCGGATCGGATTTAATTTTTAGAAAAATCTTTGTAAATTTATTGGTTAAAAAATTATTTAATTAACGCTCTTTATATTACGGATGGATTTGCAACACATCAATAATAACTACTATTTCCTGCATGATCTCCGGATAGAATCATGGCTCCATCAAGCATAATATCCGGAGAAAGATTCCCCGAGCGCCATTTTCATCTCGATCCATTACAGTTCTAATTATACACCTCGGACCCCTCCAAATTTTTTGAATTTTTCCACACCAGTTACAAGTTTTAGAGGTATAAGCTTCATTTTGAATAATGATATGAACTCCCAATTCTTCTGCTTTGGCTACTAGAAGTTTGCAAAATCGATAATGTGCCCAACCAAGCATTTGCCGAACTGTTTTTCGTGTAATTTTTCTTGTTTTTCTATTTGTCAAATTTGACACTTCAAAAGGAGTAATGATGATAACATCAAATTCACGAGTGAAAAATGAAACTGCTTTTCTATGTATTTCATTTTGCAAATGAAAAATTTTTTCGCCTCATACATGCCACTGCTTTTAGTTTTATTTTTATTTGCGTTTTGAAGTTGATCTATTAAACTTGCTTTTTTGTGATATTAATTTGTCCATGTATTTGCAATGACGAACAATACGTCCAATGTCATGTTCACCAATATTACCTACACCTTTTGTTGGAGAGTACCATGTGAATGGTGTTCTAACCCAGGATGGGAAACCAAAATTTCCGAGACCATTCCGCGACTTGTCCGTTCCAATAAGGTCTTAAGTCCCGGTCGTTTGAAGTTGACACCTGAGCTGAGTTCATGGTATCTGACGATATTCAAGTTTTCTTAGTTGCTTGGTGTGCAGATAAATACATGAAAGGAATGGTGTAGTCTACGATTTTCGATTTTGAATCTTGTATGAATGATTTTTCTCTGACAAGCATTAGGCCATGCAACTTCGATTTTTTCGGTTCACGTAACACTGAAATTTAAATCGACCCGGAGACTCGGAGTTTATTAATGAATATTTTTTATTACTAAAAAAAGTTTATATATAAATATTATGCCATCTGATTGGTCAACATTTAAGGGGACAAGGCCGTGACAAAGTAAATTTTCAGATACTGTGACCCGGCCAGATTTTGTTTAAAAGAAAGCGGTAAAATAACAATACATGAAAAAGAAAACAAAAAAACCGGGTGATCGTGTCAATTTTAAAATTTTATCTAAAAATTTTCTTTGCCTGGCCTAATCATACGACAATCATTTCATTTCAAAATCATCTTAACTCCGTCAAAATGCCTATTATACATGTAAAAATCTAAAGTTTTGAAGGAATGGGAAGGTTTACCTGTTGAGAAAGAAACTTAAAAAGATTTTTTTTGGAATATATCGAATCTATATTTATCACCTGACTGGCGGGAAGCAGATTTTGAAGTGAAATTTAACCAATCAAAAAAATTAGTTTGAGAAAATATTTCAGCACAATGTATTGCTTGGGAAGCTGCATGAATCTAATGAGTTGTAAGAAAGGAATTATACATAACGATAATACAATAAAACTTTAATCTACAAATAAAATTACACTTTGTAGTCACATGATAAACTTTTTATTTATAAACTAATTTTTTGTTAAAATTTGAAAAAGTGACCCGGCCGGGTGACGTGAACCGAAAAATCGAAGTTGCATGGCCTTACTAAGCAATTATTGCAACTGAATTACTAAGCAAAAAGTATCCGGTAAATCCCATCCGGAAGATTATGCTTTTTTTTTTTCCGATGTGGCACTGCCAATAACTTTGTTAAATGTCTTCTCCTTGCTGCATCTTTTGAAACATAACAACACCTTTTGTGTTACGAGAAAGTTCAATTTCGAAATATTTTCGGTTACATTTACTTTGGGTACATAAAGCGATCATTGATGCATCAATTTCATTGGTCAATGATGATTAACAA